AGGCTCCATTAAGACACACCTCTACTCTACCCTCAGTATCATTAAGACCATTCACTAATCTGACACTATCAACAGAGCTGTTACAAGTAGCAGCCTGGCACAATACACCAGCATCTTCAAAGTGTATACAGTTGTGGTTTGGATTATAAGTACAATTGAATAGACTTGATTCATTTCCTATACACTGCATGTCATCAAGAATAATAGCACCAGAACCAAGACCAAAATATGCACTACCATAAGCAACAGCACCTTTAAAATAATTACATAAAACTAATAATTAAATCAGTTAGTATCATACCAGAAAACGGTAATCCCAACTGCCTACAAGCTACTTGTGCATCAGGAGCATTCCATGAATCATCACAGACAGTACCCCATTGATTGAACTGACACACTTCAACTCTTCCTTCATTATCATTAGATCCACCAACAAGACGAATGTCTGAATTATTACACTGAATAGTGGCACCACAAGTAACACCAGCATCTTCAAAATGGACACAGTTATGATCAGATAGATATGTACAGTTGATAAGTAATCCTTCATTTCCAGTACACTGAACATTGTCCATGTTAATAGGACCAGTGCCAGCACCAAAATAAGCATTAGTACGAGCAATAGCAACTATTAAAATATAACAATGATATATAATATGAAGTAGGTACATGCATCACTGTACCTCCAGCAATTCCTAACTGATTACATACAACTGCAGCATCAGTTACTCCCCACAGATCATCACAGACAGTACCCCATGCTCCATTAATACACACTTCAACTCTTCCCTCATTAGCATTAGATCCACCAACAAGACGAATGTCAGTGTCATTACATTCATCTATGTTTTAATAGTAATATTAGCTACAAACATCAATTGTGCTTTATTACTTGGAGAAGCTTGACAGGTGACTCCAGCATCTTCAAGATGAATACAGTTATGGTTAGCAACATATGGACAGTCAGTTATTAGCAACTCATTTCCAGTACACTGGACATTATCTAAGTTGATTGGACCTGATCCTTGACCAAAATAGGATAGACTATGTGCAATAGCACCTGCATGATGAAAGCAGTAGTAATGAATATCAATGCTTTATAGAGACAAGCATACCTTCCCATTCATATCCCAGTTGTCTACAGACTACTCTAGCATCAGTTGCTCCCCACAAGTCATCACATACAGTACCCCATCTTGCATTAAGGCACACTTCAACTCTTCCTTCAGTGTAATT